AATAGTCGGAGACCTGGTACTGTGGCAGAGCAGTGTTCTTCCTGATGGCTCAGTAGGCTGGGAGCTAGTTCTTCCTGTGGCACCCCAGAGTCAAATAGAAAACCTAGGGGACAATGTTTGGAGCAGGAAGAGCCAGACAGACCACTAGAAAAACATCACAGAAGCAGAAAAATTAAATGTTGTAAGAGGACTCCAGAAGGACCTGGATTTGAACTAAACAAGATCAACCATGCCCAGTGTGGAGTAGTTATGATGAATCATATCTGTACTTACGGGACTTAAAGCAGCTTTTCTAGTGGTTTAGGTAGACAGTGTTTAATTTTTATATTTATGAAAGTTTGTGTTAGTGATATCTTTTCATTAAACATGACCTCAAATGCTGAAAGCTTTGGTTTGACTTTCCTAGTTTTTGAGCAGAGCCTTTTTAATTCACAAGGGGCATTTTAGCCCATCAGCAAGTTTCTTCAGGAGCCCATGCACTGCCTAGGTGTCCATTTTTCTCATCTGTCTCCTGTGCAACATCACCCTTTCCCATAAGGCTCAGTTTCCCAGGTTCAGTTCTGCTTCTCCCTTGTGTTTCCCTTTTACGTGGCGAAATGTTAATGATTTTAAATGGCGCTAATTCACCTTGTTTTCTGCAGTCATTGTTGAGCTCTAGATGCCATCCCAGCCTATAGAATTCCTCTGTTGCTTCAAATGGTCACCCAGGCTCAGAATCAGGCACCGGATCAGCAATGTGGAAATACCATATGTTTACATTACTTGTGTTACAAATTGTACTGGAGACAGAAGATTTGATTTAGTTTAAGTTAAATAAAAAAATTCCTCTTTGCAATTAAAATTCTCACAGAACATTTAATTTGTGTTTTCAACAGTTCATCTACTTTTTGCTATTCTAAGTTCATTTTTCTATATCTTTAGGGTAAATGGATTTTCTTTCATTCTTTGCTTTCATTCATTTCTGTTCACATCTATATTGTTCCTGTGATTTCCTAAGTTGAATTTATTGGACACGTATTTGAAGTAAACATCAGTTTGACTTTGACACTCAGCTCATAATTATTCAATAACTTTCTATTCATAAGGGTAACATACAAACTCCTTGATATTTAACTGAAATTTTGACCCTGTAAAAATATGGACATTTTTTTTTGAAGCCAAACCAGTTCGTTTGGCCTTGAAACATGATTTGGCCTTCTTATTTCTAAGGTTGGATCAGGTTGTTTCCTCTATTTGAAATCCCTTACTGCCTCACAAAAGCCAACTTCATTCACTAGGGCTACACACACACACACACACACACACACACACACACACACACACACACACACACACATACCTCTGACTGTGATCCAGTCCTGGTGTACATGGTGGCATCTGCCTTTTCTCCACCAGAAGCACATTGCAGTTTCTAAGAATCCACCCCTTCCATTCTTATGACATTTAAGTGGCCTCTGTGTATGTTTTGAATCCCTGCAGAGGTCACTGATTCCCTCACATGGAAACTGTTTAAGTGTGCAGTATTTCTCTTATCAGCCAAACAACTGAAGGCTCTCACAAGCTGTTTGTTTAGCCACAATATTGCAAAAACAATGAGGCCAAATGCAGGTCTCACAAAGTGAGAATAAATTTAAATTCCCACCCACTGTGGCAGGATAAGGACTTGGAACAGGATGTTGGATTTAGTAAATTAAAAGTATGGTATTCCCAGTCTCCTAGAACTGGATATGAATGAAATCCATAACTGTGATCAGCACAAAAGAAATAGCTGAAGCATATTAGGAAATGCAAAAAAGTACAGGTCTCACATACTAGTGAATCATCATGTCTAATAAAAACACTGGAATCACAAAAATACATGGGTGAAATGGAAATCTGAGCAAATAATTAGAACCATTCTTTTTTATTATTTACTTTTCTTATTTTACATATTGATCCCAGTCCCCTCTTCTTCTTACCTCCCTCATGGCCTCTGACCACTCTTCCATCCCATTTGCCCCCCACACTCCACAGGGAGGGTGATGGCTTCCAGGAAGGATCACCAAAATCTGTCCAGTATTTGGAGTAGGGACTGGGTCCTCTCTCCTGCACTCCTTGGGGAACGTCCTCCCAAAGTCCTTTTGTGCACCAGGGATACATCCTGGTTCCACTGTCAGAGGTCCCTTAGATTGTCCATGCCTTCTAACTGAGACCCATTTTCAGGGGGTCTGAGTCAGTTCCATGCTGGATTCCCAGGTAACAGTCTGGGGGCCCATTAGCTCCTCCTTGTTCAGGTCAGCTGTCTCTATGTGTTTCTGCAACCTGGTCTTGTCCTCCCTTTCTGCATCTGGAGTCCAGTTTGGCTCAGTATTTAGTTGTGGGTGTCTGCTTCTGTTTCCATCAGCTACTATATGAGGGCACTATGAAGGTGGATAAGTTAGTCATCAATCTCATTATCAGGAAGGACATTTCCAGTGTTGCTCATATTGTTAATTGGGGCCAGTCTTGTAGGTCTCTGGATATTTCTCTAGAGTCATTTTTCTCTTCAAGCCTACAATGGCTTACTCTTTTATGGCCTCTCTCTCTCTCTCTCTCTCTCTCTCTCTCTCTCATCTATTCCTCTCCTGACTCAATCTTCCTATTCCCACGTGCTTTCCTTTTCTCCCCTTCTCTTTCTCCTAGCTCCCTCTCCACTCACTGCCCCACACTCCCAGTATGCTCAGGAGATCTTGTCCCTTTCCCCTTCAGTGAGGTACCTTATATGAATCTCGTAGAATCCTCCTTGTATCCTAGTTCCTCTGGTAGTGTGAATTATAGGCTGGTGATCCTTTGCTCAACTGGATGATAGTGTGTAGAAGACTGCAGATAGATCCATGTCTATTTCCATGCACAAAACTCAAGTCCAAATGGATCAAAGACCTCAACATAAATCCAGCCACACTGAACCTCTTAGAAGAGAAACTGGGAGGTACCCTTGAACAAATTGGTTTAGGAGACCTCTTCCTGAACATAACTCCAGGAGCACAAACACTGAGGTAGACAATTAATAAATGGGACCTCTTCAAACTTAGAAACTTCTGTAAGGCAAAGGACACCGTGGACAAGACCAAACAGCAGCTCACAGACTGGGAAAAGATCTTCACCAACCTTACATCTAACAAAGGGCTGATCTCCAAAATATACAAGAAACTCAAGAAATTAGTTATTAAAACACCAAATAACCCTATTAAAAATGGGGTACAGAACTGAAGAGAGAATTCTCATTAGGGGAAATAAAAAAGGCTGAAAGACACTTAAGAAATTGCTCAACATCCTTAGCTATTAGGGAAATGCAAATCAAAACAACTCTGACATACCATCTTACTCCTGCCAGAATGGCTAAAATTAGGATCACCCATGACAACTTATGCTGGAGAGGATGTGGAGAAAGGGGAACACTTCTCCACTGCTGGAGGGACTGCAAAATTGTACAGCCAGTTTGGAGATCAATGTGGTGGTTCCTCAGGAAAATGGGAATCAGTCTACCACAGGACCTGACAATCCCCCTCTTAGACATATACCCAAATGATCCACATCCACGCAACAATGACATCTGTTGTACTATGTTGGTAGCAGCATTATATGTAAAAACAAGAACCTGGAAGCAATCTAGATGCCCCTCAACTGAAGAATGGATAAAGAAGATGTGGCACATCTACACAATGGAATACTACTCTGCGGGGGGGGGGGCAAGGATGGAACTTGAAGAAACCATCCTGAATGAGGTAACCCAGTCACAAAAAGAGGAACACAGTATGTACTCACTCATATATGTATTTTAGACCTAGAGCAAAGGATCACCAGCATATAATTCACACCACCAGAGAAACTAGGATACAAGGAGGATTCTAAGAGATTCATACAAGGTCCCTCACAGAAGGGGAAAGGAACAAGATCTCCTGAGCATATTGGGAGGGGGCAGTGAGTGGAGAGGGAGCTAGGAGAAAGAGAAAGGGAGAAAAGGAAAGCACGCGAGTCAGGGGAGGAATAGATGAGAGAGAGAGAGAGAGAGAGAGAGAGAGAGAGAGAGAGAGAGAGAGAGAGAGAGAGAGAGAAAGCATAAAAGAGTAAGCCATTGTAGGCTTGAAGAGAAAAGTGACTCTAGAGAAATATCCAGAGACCTACAAGACTGACCCCAATTAACAATCTGAGCAACACTGGAAAGGCTACCCTAAATGTCCTTCCCTGATAATGAGAATGATCTAACTTATCCACCATCATAGAGCCCTCATCTAGTAGCTGATGGAAACAGAAGCAGACACCCACAGCTAAACACTGAGCCAAACTGGAATCCAGATGCAGAGAGGGAGGACAAGGCTGCAGAAACACACAGAGACAGCTGACCTGAATAAGGAGAAGCTAATGGGCCCCCAGACTGATACCTGGGAATCCAGCATGGGACAGACTCAGACCCCTTAAACATGGGTCTCAGTTAGAAGGCCTGGACAGTTTAATGGACCTCTGACAGTGGAACCAGGATGTATCCCTGGTGTACAAAAGGACTTTGGGATCATGTTCCCCATGGATGGATACCCCCTTAACCTAGAGGCAGGAAGGAGGGCCTAGTCCCCACTCCAAATGACTTGACAGATTTTGATGACCCTCCCAGGAAGGCATCACCCTACATGTGGAGTGGGGGTGGGTGGGATGGGAGGGTGGTAGGGAGGCATGGGAGGGTGAAAAAGAGGGAGGGAGGGACGGACAGTGAACTGGGATCAATATATAAAATAAGAAAAGTAAATAAAATTTAAAAAAAGAAATAAATTCTGGCCTAAATATCTTTGCAGCAAAACGATCTCTGTAAATTGAATCACAGTAGCATTACTTGAGTGGTAAACGTCACCATTGCCCTTTCCATGGACGTCAAGTACTGCTCCAAAGAGGACTGTGTCCCATGTCACTTGGGACTCGTGGACTCATGAGTACCCATTTTCCCTTTAATAGAAAAAAGACAACTCTAGTTTCTGTACTTGGTTGAGTTTATTTTGTGCTTTTATAGCATCTTGTCTACTATATATTCCTGAATGTAGTCAATATAAACAATGATGAAGAAACACATGAGTAATGAAAATACACTGATAGAATTGTAGTCGATGCTCCATTTAACGTCAGACAACACGAAGCAGTTGCTGAATGTAAAAGGAGACCATGTCCCACTATGTTGCTGACTGCACCTAACTGATGACAGAATTAGAACCATGATGCTCATCCTCCTCTGTGGGTGTGAAGCTGGGCTGAAGTACTCCCTAGAGAAGCTGGGGTTGGTTCACACTTAGATTTCAATGGGCTTCACCACAGGTTTCCTTATGTGCCTCCTGTTGGCTCCAGTTCCAGAGGGTTTAAATGGAGCCAGCGCACCATATGGTTTGGGCAGAGGAAGTGCACTTTCGGCTTCTGGCATGTAGGCATTTGGACGCTGCTCTGCAGTTGTGTAAACACCATTGGGCAGCTGCCGATAATCTGTTTCCATGTACTCCTGCAAAGGGAAATGTTTTCACTTTACTTTTCTGAAAGCACTGAACTTACTTCTTGGGCCCAAGAGTAGCTTTAGGCTCTGCTGGCTGATACTCACCTGTAGTTGTTTTTTATTTCTGCTCTTTGGGACCTGCCACCCAGTTCCCAAGTAAATACACGGAGAATTACTTATGAATGCCCAGCCTTAGCTTGGCTTACTTCTAGCCAGCTTTTCTTAACTTAAATTATCCCATCTACCTTTTGCCTGTGGGCCTTTTACCTCTCTTTGTTCTATATATCTTGCTTTCCTTCTTACTCAGTGGCTAGCTGTGTGTCTATGTGACTGCATGGCTGTGTGTCTGTGTGGCTATGTGGCTGTGCGACTGTGTGTCTGTGTGACTGTATGGCTGTGTGACTGTGTGTCTGTGTGTCTGTGAAGCTGTGTGTCTGTGTGTCTGAGTGGCTGTGTGGCTGTGGGGCTGTGTATCTGTGGGGCTGCGTGGCTGTGTGGCCGTGTATCTGTGTTTCTGTGTGGCCGTGGTGCTGCGTGGCTGTGTGGCTGCGTGGCTGCGTGGCCGTGTGTCGGTGTGTCTGTGTGGTTGTGGAACTGTGTGGCTGCGTGGCTGCGTGGCTGTGGGGCTGTGTGTCTGTGTGTCTGTGGTGCTGTGTGTCTGTGTGTCTGTGTGTCTGTGGTGCTGTGTGGCTGTGGTGCTGTGTGGCTGTGGTGCTGTGTGGCTGTGGTGCTGTGTGGCTGACCCCTGGTGTCCTCCTCTCCTCTTCTTGCTCCACCCCCTCCTCCTATTTATTCTCTCTGCCTGGCAGCCTTGCCTATCCCCTCTCTCCTGCATAGCTATTGGTGGTTCAGATCTTTATTAGACCAACCATGTGTTTTAATAGGCAAAAACATATCTTCACAGAGTTAAACAAATACAACATAAAAGAATACAACACATCTTTGCATCATTAAACAAATATTCCACAGCATAAAAAAATGTAACACATCTTTAAATAATGTTTTACAACATTCACCAGAGGGGATGAGTACAGGAGTGTGAAGCCCACCCCCACCTCTGTCGCCTGTCATCTGAATGGATGTGGGTATAGCTCAAGCATCATGCTGATGCTGGGGCTTGGTGTGGGCCAGAGATTACTTGGTGGGTTCCTCATGAACTGTCTTCCAACTCATTGTCTGTCACTGAGCTCTTTAGTATTTTCACATTTCTGACAAATGTAGTAATACTTTTCCTTTGCCACTGGGGAGAAAATATTAAAACAGAATGATGAGACTGGAACCAGGAGGAATAGCAAATAGTCTTGGTCCTGTGATTAAGGAAAACAACTCCCTACAGCACTAAAGTGAACTCTGTGGTAGAGGAAGACAGAGGGATGTCATGAGGGAACCCCAAGTGCCCTAGGAAAGATAGTTCCAGGTAGACAGAATCACAGGTCAGACCCCATGCTCAGGTATGTCTACTATGTGTTTGGAATGTACCTTTCAAAGTCTTGGATTAGAAAGTGAAACATGGTCTTTGCAGAACCACTCATGTGACAGTCTAAGCAAACTGTCCCCATGATTTGGTCATCTAGGGAAGAGATACCTTGTTCTAATCGTAAAACCATTGAGAGATCACAGGTTTAGATGGATGAACAGAAGCTGGTGGCTTCTGTGACCAATGACCTTGGTCACTGGGAAGGAGGAAGGGGTGCTATGGAGGTCTATGCTACATACCAGGTGTGACTGTGTAGAAGGCTATGGTAACCATGATATGGTTGTGGAGGCCATGACAAATGGATGTGGAAGAGTCAGGTGTGGTGTGAGCAAGTGTTCGAGGACAGATAAAGCCATGTTACAGGTAAAGCCAGTGCTAGAATGGCCGTAGCCATACTTGGAGGAGGCCACAGTGTTTAGTCATGACAGTCCAGGGTGTGACTGTAGGATGAGACATTGTGTTTGTTAGGTATTCTTCTGGGAGAAAGGCAGTGCTTTGGACAACTGAAGCAAAGTCTCTTCTACATACCAAACTCCTTTCTACTAGCCATTCAGACTGTGTGTTAGAGTGGGAACTTTTCATATACAGATTGAGCAAGCCTGATAGAAGACTCTGAGGATTGATTAAAATGTCACAAGTAGATAATTCCATACCATACCATGATTGCAGTAAAAATATAAATATACTAAAATATTGTATGAAAATCACCTTCTGCCCATGTGTATGAGATATATATGAAACAAGAGAACCTGGGGTTTAGATGTGGCCCCAGTCCCTAAATATCTCATGAAAATCATAAAAAAGTTCAAAACATCTCTATTAGCAAGCCTTCCTGATAAGGGGTCATGCACTGTATCATGGGAGGATGGACTGCAGGCAACCTCAACCTCTGTTGGCATGCTGTGCAGCATGGAAGTCAATGCTTACCCGAGATTTCTCAGCTGTGGCAAAAGCATACATTTCTTCATCTCGAAGTACCTTCAGCCAATCTTTCTCAATTTCTCTATTGAGTGGTAGGCCCTTTTCTATCCTGGAACTGCAGGAGAAGATAAATTCTTCTTTCTCCCTCATCTCCTTTTGGAGTTCAATGGTCAGGGCTTGTTTCATGGACAGCTCAGCAACTAGAGCCATCATTTTCTCAGTAGCATCTTTGATCCTTTTTTGGTAGCCATTCATCTAGAATTGAAGATCCTAAGGTTTAGTTGGTATAGATATTCCATGAGTATGTAAAGAAAACAGCAGACTGTGGTGTGGGCAGTCTTTCCTGGAGGAATGAGGAATTCATAGGAAATCCCTGAAAGAGGTTTCAGGGATCAAAGCTTTCTGTTTACTTATTGTTGCCATGATAAAACAACGACCAAAAGAGACTTGTGGAGGAAAGAGCCTTTTGGCATATACTTCCATTATTGAGGAAGTCAGGGCAAGAATTCAAGTAAAAGCCACAGAATAATGCTGCCTATTGGCTAATCCTCTGACTCATTTATTGAGTCATGCTCAGCTACCTTTCTTACATAGCCTATACCTAACTGTCTAGGGGTGGTGTGGCCCACTGAGGGCTAGGCCCCAAACACCAACCATCAAACCAAGACAGTCTTTTATTGATATGGCCAAGGGAAATCTGATCTAGACAGTAGAGGTTCCTTCTTTCCAAGTGACTATAAGTTATGTCACATTGACCAAACTAAGCAGCATAGAATCCAACAGATTTGGTTATGAAAATAAGAAAAAATATGGGAAGAAATAAGAAGAAAGGTTTATCTGGTTCCTAGCTTCCAGTTGAAGAGCATTGAAGGCTAGCTTAGTGTTTGTTTTTATGTGGTAAGGAGGAGAGGGGAATGTTCTTGATGCCCAAGTTCTGGCCTACTTATAGGCTCTCGACCAAGTGATAATATGCGTTTATCAATTTGAAACTTTCCAGCTATTTTGGGGCCTTTCTGGCCACACTGTGCTTCTCTAGTATGGCAAGTATTTCCAGAGACATTGCCATCACCTCTTAAAAATGGTCTCTCAATGAAAAAGTGACTTTCTCTCAAGCAAGGGGAATTCATTTTGTAAAGCAAAGGGGGAGGTATTAATTCAGACAAAGCTCACTGGTTTAAATCAATCTTACCATTTCTTTGTTTATGAGGTCAAACTACCACTGGGCTCACCAGTACAGAAATGCAAAGGCCACATGAAAATGGTGTTTTCACCATTTTTTTTAGGTGAATTTTCACAGTCGTTTCCAATATGACTTTGATGGGGGATGGCCTTCTGTCTCTATGTTTCTCTTATTGGTTGAAGAATAAAACACTGATTATCCAGTAGCCGGGAAGGAAGCATAGGTGGGTTACCAGATGAGGAGAATGCTGGGGAGAAGAGGCAGAGAGGAGCTGCCAGGGAGATGCCATGTAGCTATTGGGAATGTAGGATGCCTGGGCATTCTCCGGTAAGATAAGGCCATGTGGAAATACATAGAATAATTGTTATGGGTTAATAAGAGACACCTAGTGAGTAAGAAGCCTGGGCCATTGACCAAACAATCTATAATTAATATAAGCCTTTGTGTGTTTATTTGGATCTAAATGGCAGGTGGACCTGGAGGAACAGAAACTCCATCTACATAAGTTGGCAAAAGTATCTCTAGAAAAGGACTGAACATTTACTTATTTACTCATGACCATTTTCTAGCATCTAGTATATGCAAGGCACTGAGAAACTAAAGAGGAAGGAGGTGTCTCTACCCGAATGGAGCCTCGTCTGGGTTGTAGGAACCCTGCACCCTCATGCATTCCCTTCTTCCTCACCTGACAGAGAGTGTGTGGCCCTTTCCTCTTTGTGTCTGCCTCAGGCATGCTGAGACAGTGCATAGCAAATATGAGTGTTAAACCCCTCTTCTAGAGGATGCTCGAAGGTCCCGCAGAAACCAGGTGAGCGCACAGTCCTCTGTGGTGCATGGTATGATCATGTCACCTTTAGTCACCACCAGCCTTACCCTTGCTAGCTGTTGCTTTCAGTAGAGCCACCCCTCAAAGCTTTACATCTCCAGCCTGGGAACTGTATGGCTGCTGTTCAGTTTCCCTTTCCATCTGTGGGTTCTGTGTCAGAGCAGTTCCTATTCAGACCACCAAAAAAGTGAGGTTTTTGGCTCACAAAGAAATACAAAGGGTGGCTTTTGTTTTTTGTTTTTTGTACACAGACTATGGCGAGAAGGCCTCTTGCTAATGAAACTTGAGTACTGTCCTTGAAAAGCTTAGGCTTCCTTCCTGTGGATTCACTCAGGGAGCTCATTTTGGACTAATGTTTACATTTGCTATATTTCTAGACTCAAAACTTCATCTCTCTAGTGCTTCCCAACAAATTAAGAGTGGGAAATGAGCATTGATGGCAGAAGTTGGGGCAGGGAGTGACGGGTGGGGATCAATTCACTCAGGCAGACCTTCTTGGCTAAGAGCAGTGTATCCTCCTTGCAAGTCTGGGTTTTGCTTCTGAGCCTGTTGGTGAGCTGGGTCACCTGCTCATAGATGAAATCCTTTTCCAGTAACTTCTCCTCCTTCTTGGCCAGCTGAAGTTCCAGCTACAGTTGGAAATAATTTCAGTAGGAGTTAAAAAGCTACCTATGTAAGGCCAGTCTTCGTTTGCAGTCTGTCCTCCACCCCATGACAGACACATTGCTTTCTTAGTTGTGAAAAGCCCTCTGGACAGCCCCTGAGCTGGGCCATGTCAGGACACCTTGGAAGCCCTTCTGCTGTGGGCAGACCAGGACCCTCTGCCTCTGCACAGTACCCACAATGGCTTCCTTTCCAGATGTTCCCACTAGGATGACAAATTAGCATATTCACTCAAGAAGTCAAAATCAGTTATTTGGCTAGGAGGGAAGAGTACCTTTGCATGTTGATGCTACTGACTCTTTACTTGCTTTGGTAAATATCTGAAAAAGTTAGAATTTAGGACTACTGTATAACTAGGGCTAGAGTGATGAAGGGTGGGTCTGTCAGCACACGGGGAAACAGACTGCGGCATCTGGGAGCAAACAGACAAATGTCTAACAAGAGCATTTACCATATCCAGTTTCTTGATCATTTCTTCTTCAGTTAGATCCTTCCCCTGAATGAAGCGGATTCTGCCCTTACAACTGGGATTTATAAATCGTTTCTCCAGGTCTTTTATTCTATCTGCACACTGTGAAAACTGTTGAACAAGAAATACACGTTAGATTCACATTTAACTCTCTAGCTTAGTAAATCTCAAATTATGCAGGCAGGCCCTTAAGCTCATTTGTGGAGCTGTACACATGGTGTGTGGGATAAATCCTGCCTAGGAAGGCAGTGTCTGTCTGTCTGTCTGTCTGTCTGTCTATCAGTCTCACAAGAGAGAAGGCTGGATTCCTAGAAACCCTTCCATTGCTCCCAGTTGTGTGAGGAGTTGTTGTTAATGGCTCAAGGTAGTCTTGGCTGCTTCACTGCAGGTGTTTCAGAGACTGGACAGCCACCATGCAGCAAGCTGCATTTCCTTTGGTGGCAGTGGCCCCAATGGCGTCTCAAAGAAGGGGGTTAATTACCAGGCCAGCCCATCGTGTACTCTGTGAGCAGCAGTCCCAGCCACTTGCGTACTTTTTGTTAAAGTGCCTTTGACTAGATTATAGCTGTGGAATCACTGAGGAGGGGAGGTGGGTAGCGCTGAGAAATCACACAGTTTTAAAAGTGGAGAAGTGATAATCCAAAGGACTTGTTTGTAGCTTCCCTGCCATTGTGTGGTTGCTTTCAGGAACATTTGGTTTCTCAACTGGCAGATGGCAAGATGAGGCTTGATCTTGTTGCAGTAAAACAATAGACTTTAGTACAGTGGCTCTCAACCCGTGGATCACAGCCATTGGAGAACATACATTTCCAATGCCCTTAGACATTGAGACACTGCTCCAGAGCAAAATTCCAGTTATAAGATAGCAACGAAAATAACTTTATGGTTGGGGTCACCATGGCATGAGGAACTGTATTAAAGGGTCACAGCATTGGAGGGCTGAGAATCACTGCTTTGGTGCTTTAGATCACATTCAGGAGTGACACAGATAGAACTTGAGAATTTTAATTGATGGTACTCTTCTATAATAAGAATTTTAAGTGCTGACACTTAAAAATAGTGACAGAAATTATTAGTAACACCTTTTAATGTTTCCTTAATTCTTAATTAGGAAACTAAGAAATAAATACGATACTTTCTTATCACAATGAGTGCCTCTAGAAGGCTGGACAGGTGCCGGAAGAAGCCAGTCCTGGAGGACAGTGCAGATGTGGTTGCCCAGAGCTCGGTATGTCACATCCTGTCTTTCCAGGCCCACAGTCAGCGCAGATAAAATCACATAGCAAGTGCAGCTTGAAAGTGGATGGGCGGCTTTCTACACACCTGCTCCAAAGCTTATGTATGGCCCACAGGTCTGATTTATGTGCAGCCATGATGATAAAAGCCCTGTCATCAGGCAGGGCATATGGTAACATTAAACACATAACAGTCACCTCTTGTCAAAACGGAATTCCTACTACACAGTGGATAGCAGATTATTTCTAAGAACAAGTACTTCATTATTAAAGCTTCTGAATTTATGTACGTGCCATAAATACACAAAGGAGAGAATGGTGTGGTGAACTTCCACACACTTGTGTCTCAGCGCCAACAGTCCCCCAGCACAGCTTTCTCCACACACCTGCAGGAACACTTTAGTAGCCATCCCATACATCATCTGGCTTCACTTGAACGACTCAGAAGCTGCCCATTTTCTGTTTTCTTCCTTCCTTCCTCCCTCCCTCCGTTCCTTCCTCTCTCCCTCCCTCCCTCCCTCCCTCCCTTCCTCCCTCCCTCCTTCCTTTCCTTCCTTCCTCCCTCCCTCCGTTCCTTCCTCCCTCCCTCCGTTCCTTCCTCGCTCCCTCCCTCTCTTCCTCCCTCCTTCCCTCCCTTCCTCCCTCCTTTCCTTTCTTCCTTTCCTTCTTTCTATCTTTTATTTCTGATATAGCGTCTTATTGTGTAGCCCCAGCTGACCATAAAGTCATAGAAAATCTCCTGCTTCACCCTCTCAGGTGCTGGGATTACAAGTATGCACCACCACACTCAATTTAAAACATAACAATTTAAGTTAAAATTTAACCACAGTACCATTGCTCATATAAAATATTAACAATTCTTTTATATAGGTCTACTGAGTTTCTAATTTCTCCACTGTTGCATAAACAAAGCAGTACTAATGGCTATAATTTAATATGTTTGGCCAAGTTTCTTCAATAAGTATATAAAAATGAAAAGGAGGGAGGGGGGCTATTGTTAGATGTAAAGCAGTTCAGTAGACACACCGACCAAGTGGAATAAATGTAAGAAGAATGGTTAGTTTTGTCCGTTGGATATCAGTGCTGGTTTCAGATAACCTGAACTATATACTGATGTAATGGCAAATCTGGTCTGTTTGACAGCTGATTAAAGTCCCTTCTTAGACATCCTGGTATTCCTTGTGGGCAAAGACAGACATGACACTGATACTGAGAAAGAGCAAATTATTCTGTAAAATGGAGTGTGCTAAGTGTGGCATCACTGAGGTGGGCTGCTGGGTGTGAGGCACAGAGGCAGGTGGGGTAGAGAAGCTGATAGCCATGAAACACAGAGCACTTGGAGAGGCCTGGACAGGGAAGGGGCGGCTGGGGTTTCTGAGGTCTCATGTGGAGCTCTTTGCATTTCTGGAATGTAGACTCACACACTGCTCTCAAAAATGTGCGGTGAAATCTGTCAGGGGCTTTGCATGCAATGCTGTTGTGCAGACTAGGGAGGAGAACCATCCAGGGCATACCCTGACAGAACACAGAAAGGGAGCAGGCACTGCTCCCTTTGGAAGCTGGAGTCAGAGCCAGGGAATAATGGGGAGATTGTTCCGGGACCTTGGTGGGGAGCAATCCAGCCAATTGATCTAAATGGAAGCAGTTATGGCTAAAAATCAGGCAAGCACTGCTATAAATGATCCTGATACAACTGCACAAGCTGGAAGTTGTTGTTTGTCATCTATATAAAGTTTATCTATGCCAATGCATTCAAGTGTGGAAGCAGACCCTGATTCCAAGTTGCACAAATCCTTTGCATGAAGTTAAATGAAAAACTGAAACTAAATGTATGCTGAGAGAGGAAACTTGCTCTCAGATTTCTGGCTATTATTCCTGGGAATAGAATTTCTTTTCTTTAACATTTTGTTCTTTTTTAATATTAACTAACTGAATACAGCTTAATTTAATAACCAGGAAAACATCGAGAAGCAAGGGTGACTTTAGAATACAGGGTAGATTTTGTTCCTGCAACCTTGAGTCAGTGGGGAAAAGTGTAGGTCACAAAGACGGTCACATTTTATTTTTGCTATTGGGGACCACAGAGGTTTGTGAAGAATCTGTGTGTGAGGCTGCAGACTGAGAAGCAGCACTTCTACGCATGTCATTCTTCCACTGAGCATCAGGCTCATTCTGGTGGCAGGAACTCTCTGCCATCTCCACACTCAGCAGGCAGAGGCAGGGAGGTTGAAATCAGTCTGAAACATCTGGGCTATACAGGGGTATCAGACCACAAAGGCTACAAGACCTTGCTTCAACAAGCCAGAGAGACTAAATGTTACATCTCAGTGGTCTCCAGCAACATCAATAGCAGAATTATGCTGTAGGAAGTGAGAGCGTACATTTCCCTGGACCGGGCTATAGGAATGACGAACTAGGGCTAAATCCTGGGATGGCCCAGATTACAAAAATCATAGAGAGAAAGGCGAACAAACCTGTGTAGCTCAGATTCCCTAAACCCAGTCTTGGAGCAGCGTTCAAAAGTCATCTTCAAACATCATATAACTCATAGCAATTAGCAGTGGTGGAGCTTGGCTTCCATGTAAGAACCCTTATCATCTGCAAACTAACAAGGGGGAGGAGACAAGCCAGTGGCCTGGGGGAGTGGCCCTGGCCCTCACCCACCTGGATCTGGAGCACGGCCAGGTCGGCATCAAGGGCCCTCTTGGTGGGCAGTAGCTTCTGTGTCACACTAATTTGCCTTTGCTTCTCGGCAATCTTCAGTCTCAGGAATCGGATTTTTTCATCAAGGACATGGATTTCAACATCACCATGAAGTTTCAACTTCTCCTGGATATTTATCTTTTCATAAAAAATGCATACTTCTTCCTCTCGCTCTATCAGCTGGACACCACTGTGGTCAAATTCAGAGCAGGGGTCTAAGTGGGTGCTGAGGCCTCTGTTTCCTAGTTACTCTGGCTTTGGGCTCACATTATACATCAACATAGCAGAATTTCAGAACACATTGCCATATTACAGTAGACTGCTATTTAAGCACCACACACTGGATTCCCCTATGGTTAAGTGTGTTGTACTCTCCATTCTAAGGCCAGCTGGGCAGCAGGATGGCCAGAGTGGCTTGATAAGCCCTGAAAGTTTCCCCGGGGTAACAGGTGACTTCCAACATAAGAACAAAGAAAAGCCCAGGCCTGGTTTTCTGTCCATCTTTTTTGGGGTCCAGACTTGCCAAGCAAGGCCTAGGCAGAAGCCCTGGGCAATGGGCCTGGGAACATGACCCTGGAGTGAGTTGCCAGGATCATAAGGTTCTTTGAAAAGTGAATGTTTCTATTGCTGTTTCCCCAGTCACTTGCCCTTTTGTAACCTCCCGGACAGGTGCAATGGGTACATCTCTCCTGGACAGGAAGCCACTGGAGAGAAGCAATGTGACATTTTCCCTTCATCAACTCTGGTCTAACCAGGGACCTGGAACACTCTATTTGTCCATAAGCTTTGGCTTGTTCCAGGAGCTAAATAGGATTTTTTGTTTGTTTGTTTTATTTTTGTTTTAACCCAGAAAGAACAGTCATTAGACTTTTGAAAAGGTTCTGTTTGTCAAGGACCCTAAAGCTCTTCCCGGTCCATCTGTGTATCTATGACCACAACTGCTACCTTTGATTTCTCTAAGTCCTTCCTTCCCTGCAATAGTGTGCATGCATTTGTGCCTGGCTGACCTCAGCTCTTCTTCAGGTTTTCTGTCAAAGCTACTTCTCACATTCCCTTGATGGCAAAAGCCAACAGCAAGGCTTTACCATCCCGCCCCCTGTCCCCTCAGCAGCTGCACCCCAACCAGTGTCTCAGACACAAGAAACTGCAGTGTGTGGGACTGTTAAAATGGTAACACTGTTAAAGACGTGCTTGACACCTGGAAGAAACATGCCTCTCTTCTCAGCCTTCCTTCCTTTTAGGGAAAATGAACTAGGTTGATAAGGCCCTGCCAACATGGACAGATGTTACAGAGACTGACTCACATCAGGGGGTGCAGAAGGAATTCATTGTTATCCTAGAGCAGTGGTTCTCAGCCCATGAGTCATGACCCCTCTGAGGGTCACATATCAGATACCCTGAGTATCAAGTATCAGATATTTGCGTTATGATTCACAACAGTAGCAAAATTACAGTTATGAATTAGCCACAAATAGTATTTTGGTTGGGGGCCAGCTCAGCATGAGGAACTGTACTAGTGGGTCACAGCATTGGCAAGGTTGATAACTGCTGTCCTAGTGTCCCACAGACTGATCTTCCAATGTCCCAAACCCTCCTTTTAGTTTCCCTTCCACAGACAGCCTCTCTTCTTTCATGCACAGCTCCCCCCACAAGGGTAAAGAACATGGCTGCACTCAGTAGGGCCCCTGGGCGCTGAGCCTGAGCCAGCCTGTGGTCTATACCTTTCGTTTCGCCGCTGGACAGCCTTCTCATACTTCTTCCGCAGCTGCACCATCTCCTCTTCAATCATGGAGATCATGCTGGCCAGCCTGTCCATGCTGTTCAGCTGGGCTTCCTTCTTCTCCTTCATTTCCTGGAGTTTAGTGGTGATTTTGCACACATCATTCTGCATGCTTTCCCTTATGGTCACGCTGTTGGAATGCTTCAGCATGGAGTTTTGCAGCTTCCTTTTAAAATAAGGCACAGTGGGGGAAGATCATTTTCTTCAAAATACTGAAGATGTCTGAAAGGTACTCTAAAACGTGTGTCTTCTGAAATGACATCACTACACAGTGCTTTCAGGACTTCATGTCAGCCCCTCTGTGGGGGGCTCATCCCTCCAGCCAGGTGAGGGTACTGCCATTGTGTCAACCACTGTGCCACGGTCTTTTGTGAAAGGGTCCTTTGCTGCTGCTCTGTCATCTCAGGAGGACAGAGGTGCGTCTACTGACAATGCCTGTCGGGTCTCAGTCTAGGAGCATGGGTCAGGCTGGATGAAATCACAGACTGGATGTTATATTTTAATTTCCTTTCAGGTAAGAAGCTGACTGGGAAATTTCTATTTCCAACTATGCTTTTCAAATGAGTGTATTTGATATTATCTTTCTCAAAGTCAACTGGGCAATAAAGGCCAACAGAAAAATCCATTTATGTAGTCTCAGGCAATCAGGTAAAAGAGACCAGTAGATGTTTGCATGCAGTAAATATTCTTTTTGTATTATTACATAGATGGACTCATTTAGTAACAAAAGGTCCATCACAATATTGACAAAGATTATGCATCAGGAAAGAGTTCAGAGAAGTCGAGTGGCCCCACAGACAGTAACCGCCAGAGCTGTGAGTTTAGTCTAGAGAATGTTGCTCTTAGCAGTTCCGCCTTCTACAGCCACATTGTATGCTTGAAGTCTGCAACAGGGATACTACCTAAAATGTCATTTGTCTTCTAACTTCAGGTGCAGGCTATCAGATTTACACTTTTTTTAATTAAGCAAATGGACACCAGCATCATCATAGGAAACACAGTTTTATGTTAGAGTTTTGCATTCATTGAAACATGTGACTCTTAGAAAATAAGAAGTGTGCCCAGGTGCCAGTGTTGTTACCTGTGACCAGGCTTTCCCATCTCTGAAAGCCTTGCCATCTTCCGTGAGCATCAGGACCTTCTAGAGCGACACAGACAAGGCTTTGGGGACTCTGGCTGTCCATGGCTCTTACCTTTCTTGAGAGACAGCACTGTTTCTCAAAATTTCCAGTTCATTTAGTGACATTTTGTGCCTTTCCCTTATTTCATTCACTTTCTGATGAGCTTTGTGAAGGAGGTTAACAAACTTGTTTCTTTCATTTCTAATTGTGTCATACAGTTTGGCAAATTCTCGGAGTCTGTGGAAACATAGTTTTGAAAATTGAAAACTAAACAACACCTTCCCCAAAATCAGGTAGATAAGTCATGACCAAATTGTTTTACCTCCGGTGAATTTCATGCTTTTTCTTCTTGTACAGTCTGATTTCAAGGTCCTTTGCTTTGATTTCCTTAATGACATTGGAATGTTTTTGCTGCAAGGTAAAAATTATGTGTGAAATAAAGAGAAACAACTACAAAGCTGAGTGTAGTGGCTTATGTCTGCAATTCCAATGCTTGGGAAACTGAGGCAATAGGATTGCAAAGAATTCAGGATCAGCCTTGAAAATCCAAAATCAACAGCAGCAGCAGCAACAACAAAAACACAATGTAAGAGTACTACTCCTGCTGAACTCCATTCTTATCGGTTAACCCCTCCTAAGCTGCTGGGTTGGGCAGATGAGGGCAGGCGAAAGACGAGAATTGCCTGGCCAGCTGAAGTGACCACCATCAACCAGGATAGGGGGTTACTTAAGACTCGTGAAGAACAAGAGAGGACAAAGGACAGTGTGGGGAACCGGGGACACCTTTGAGAGGAGACCCAGCCTGGTGAGCATGCTGTTTATTGAGGTTGATGAGGAGGATTTACAGGAAGTTTTGACAAATGTTGTGACCTGAACCCTCTATGGCATTTGTGAGACTGAAGCAATGGCTGTAAAGTGCAGTTCCATTTTTTGTGTGTTTGGTGGGTGTATTTTTCCTTGATAACAGGCACCATGTTGAGACTGTTTATAAATATATATATATATATATATATATATATATATATATATATACTAAATAGAAATATATAAACATATGTAATATGAATATATTAAAAAGAAAGCAGTTATAGCTTTAAAAATCCTAAGAAATAATCTATCAAGTGCTGGATTTATCAGTGATACTCTGTAGATAGAAATGCCTGGTGGGACCTTTCTCTGGCACAGGAAGCATCTGGAGACAGTCTCTGCTGGTAGCTTTGGGGGTGGGCAGTTTCAGTCACTGTCTATCGGGGCAGGCAGAGCAAAAGCATTTGGCCTGGTAGAGCCAAGGCAGAATGAATGCACACTGAATTTATTTTGTATAATTTTCAGCGAAAATGTGAGTCAACAAGCTAACCTTTAGGTGACTGTACATGAAAAGAATAAAGCAGGTGTAAGATGTAGCTTAAACTATGCCGTCTTGTGGGCGACAGCAATGTCACCATGAATTCCTATTTCAGACACTTTATATATTCTTTAAAAAGAGATATAGACATTACATAAATTAATAAGATTGAATGCCTTCTTGTGGAGAAACAGTTAACTACAACCAATGTTTAAAAGAGTAATTCGCAATACTGAAACACTTGAGGAACAAACAATATTTTCCCTTATGATTTCCACATCTCAAAAAGAACTGTCTTATGCTTTATTATGAATAAGTTCATTTGGTAACAGTTTAGTTTATGTAGATTATTGTGTTTATAACACAAGGATAGATATAGATAACATAAGGGTCAAATTTTGGGATCTATTAAAATTTGTCTACTTTGTAAAACAGACCAGTTCTTTTCTTGGAATAACAAATTATAGCTCTAGTTTATCTAAAAATTTCTAAAAGAGAGGAAGTTTTCTAAGTAGGAATCTCATAGAAGCGGACTCTTCCAACCACAGAGGAGGCTTCTGACACACTGTACTGGTTAATCCCACCCCAGACCCCGACTTCAGGGGCGATGACCTTCTCAAACTTAATCTGCCCCTCTTATAGTCATCCTTGTCTCTTCGGCTTCGCCTCTTCCCAGTTCCCAAGAGGCTATACTCTTCCTCATCGGTGTTCTATGAGTCCAGTGATCCCAGGACTCCAGTTTCTGAGAGGCTATGCCATTCCTCATTGTTTTCTATGACACAATGATCCCAAGACTCCAGTTCCTGAGAGGCTATGCCATTCCTCATTGTTTTCTATGATATAATGATCCCAGGACTCCAGTTCCTATGAATCCAATGATCCCATGGGCTCCGTTAACTTTTGCAACAGAAATAAAACAGTTCAAGGTGGGTTGAGTGAACCTCGCCATCTATTCTTGCCTCTCTCTGCTTCATTTGACATCCCTCCTCCTCTCCCTCTGCCAGGTGTGTCTAACTTCTCACTTCTCAGCTATGAATGTGTCTAAGTAAACAGTGAAAGAGGTGTTTGAGAAGTAGGCTAATGGTTGGGGATCTGTGTGGTTACAGCTGCCTCCTCCTGTCTTTGCTACAGAATCTATTTCACATCAATGCCCATCAATGCTGTTTAAGTGTGTGTTCCTTCTGGGGAATAAGAAGAAAATATCTTACCCCCATGTTGGCACTCAGAATGAGAACAAAGATTACATGTACAAATAGCCAAGCAAGGTCACATGACAAATGCATAAGTTCTACTTTAGTAATAGTTTATATCATAGTCATCAAAAATTTATTATTATTAATTCTTGAAACACAGTATCACTATATCATCCAGGCTAAACTTTAACTTACTGTTCCCCCCGAGTCTACTACCTCTTGATTACATGCCATAATGCACACTTTTATTGTTTGTTTGGCAAGAGATCAAAGCAGCTCTCATAGGCAGGCACTCTAGCCTTGAACTATTTCCCAGACTTTATTTACCTTTAACAAAGCACCCAGACACAGTCCTCCTGTGGACTCACTAACAGATTCCAGCGTTAAATGTAGCCCCTGCTGCAGGAGGGTTCTGTTTTCTGATGCTGCTTGTGGCACTTTGTAGGGGTCATTGAGCACATTCTGCACTGCTCATCTGATGACTGTTCACAAGCTCTGCTCTTACATTGTCCCAAGTCAAGTCACAGTGCAACCTGTGGCTCTGCAACTTGCAGATGCCTCTCTCTGTGGTTTATGTACCTGACAGCCCTGGCCACTGTAGATGTTTACTTCATCCTTGTTCAAATTGCCATCTGTTCAGACCCCTCTGATCATTTGATTGGCTTTTGTAACTTCTAGCCTGCTAACTGCTGAAAACTAAACCCTGAGGTTGGTTTCTTTTCCAGTGTATGATTCAGTGTCCTTTATGAAATAATTTATAGTCATCAAATTTGAAGGAAATTTAGAATTACCTCTTTCAAATTAACGACACATTAAAACAAGGCCCCCTTAAACTCTTGTGGTAACTAATGAGAGGTCATAATAAAGCAGTTACCTGGGCTTTCAGGAAATCTTTGGACTTTTGTTCTCGTTCATCTATTTTGATCTGCGTCATTCGCCCCAGGTTGAATACCAGGTCTCGCATATTCTCCTGCTCCTTTAAAAGTTTATTTTCTTCAGCAATATGCTGTTCTACGAGCCTGGCCTCAGCTTCTGATAGGGTTTTCTTTTGGAAAGCACAGGATTATAATTCATTTTCTGAAGGAGCACCATAAGGTTAGCATATAACATTGTCTTCCTTTCATGCTGTCAACAGAGAGCAGAGTCACCCAAATCTCTGCTCCAGCTTTCCCTTTAATTTATGAAGGATGCAAACTAGTAGGTTAGCATGATCTCCTTTTTCTTAGTGTGTTTTAAAGTGGCTAGATGTTTAAATGACAAAAGTTTGAAATTTGAAAATAGACATCAATGAAACAAGTTGACTTTCAGTGCAATCAATAGCCCTTTTATTTGTAAAAGGCTCACCATTTCAAACGTGTCCTTTTTTTTCCTCAGAAAAAAAATTGTAGGGAATGAACTTTAAGATGAGGATGGCGTCTCTCTCTCTCTCTCTCTCTCTCTCTCTCTCTCTCTCTCTCTCTCTGTGTGTGTGTGTGTGTGTGTTTGTGTGTGTGTCTGTGTACATGCGTGTGCGCCCGCGCTCTCTCACGCTGTGCTGGACCACTTGGCTAGATGAGGATGGTATGTGTGCACTCACTCAGTAGTGCTGGACTATTTGGCTAGCATGTTTGAGGCACTTCACTCAATTCTCAGTAAACTTCTCCCACAAAGAAGAAATAGGCCCACTGTAAGCAAGATGGTGCCCTTTAAAGATTGATGCACATTATTTGTTCACATTATTGTACACATGAGTGGGTTTCACTATAGCACTGGCATATGCACATTATCTTCTGATAGTGTCTCCCTTCCCAGCTGCCTACCCCTCCCATCCCCTACCATCTCTTTGATGTGCTTTTGTAGAACATTTAAAAAACACAACTTTATGCTCCATTCTGAGACAGAAGTGCAAATGAGTTCGAAGTTAACCTGCTGAGCCAGATTCCTCTTAGCTAATTCCACTTCCTTGTGGAGGTCTCTTCTCCTCTCAGGCAACATAAGGTCATCTTTAGGGATAGCTTCGATCTGGAAGATAGAATTTAAAATCAGTGCTGCAATGAAAACAATGTCCAATACCATATACTCAACCCCATTGCACACTTTTTTGGAACTGGCAGGCAAACTCTGATTCCCGACCTTACCAGAATTTCCTACTCTGGTTATTTATTTATTTTTATAAAACCAATGTGAAATAAAATATAAAGATCTACCAAAAATACACAGTCCATTAGCTAACAGTATTTTATCCTGTATAAATAAATCTTAATACCTAATATGTACTGAGCAACACTTAAACGTGTTGCAGTGGTGTGGGGCTTAGAGACATGATCTTATTTATTCCTCACAAATGCCAAGAGACATGCAGTTGTTTGGGAGAGAATTACATATGGACTCGCCTCAGCGGTGCAGGTACAAACCCAGGTAGGCACCACACTGTCTGTCTGTCCACTGCACCCTTTGACCACCATACCCTGCTGCCTCATCAATTCAGTCAGGAACTGAGGAACCTCCAAATGTTTGACCATTCATGGGACAGTAATTATGATTATCAAGTCTACACTCATTTATGAAATCCTATAGACCAAAGAAAAGCAGTTGAGAATAACTTGTTATTTAAATGTGAAAGTTTGATGAGCAAATGGGAAATTATTACTTAAAGAAAAAAGTTTCTTAATCGTTTTGTTGAAACCTACATTTTTTGCCATTATGCTTTTGCTGTGTTAAAATACATTTGGGGAAAGTATTTGATAAGAAATCATACAGTAGCTATGAGGGAAGGGGGCATCCAAAACTGTGGAAGGGTCACTTTGGGGTAATTATACCCTCCCTACTTGACTCTGGACCCCAATATGGGAAGCCAACAAGTGCAACCTGATGTGGTTCTTTTCCTCCAGTGACAACAGACTTCGAGTCTCCAGAGCTGTGCATTAGCCAGAATGCACAGCAAGAAGGGAAGGACATTCTGCTCAGTAGATTAAAGGTCACCAAACAGAATCTTTCTTAGGTTCAAAATGCTCTTATAAAGTAGCTCCCATGTATTTTTGTGGGCCCCATCCATCTGTGTAAGCCAGTGTTTCTTCAGTAACATCTGTATCCTCAGGTGCCGGGTGCTTCCCGATTCTCATGGTCTCGCCTACCATGGACAGCTAACTGTCAAGCAGCCCAGACTACACTTAAGGGGATGTGTCATGGTTTTGTGAAATTCATATAGTGATATAAAGAACTTCATGTTTTTAATGGACAGACCGAAGCAAAGGGAAAACTTGTGTAGCCTTGAGTAATTGGAAGACGACATGGGCAGTGTTGGCTACCCATAAGGAGGAGCTCCACCTCTCTTGTCTGGGATAGAAAGGTGAGCAAGCATCCCCAGAAATAAGCATCCTCTGCTGCAGATGGGCCTAGATGGGCTGTTCCCCATGCTGTACTCCCATAGGCTGGGAGTCTAACACCTGGGACCAGGAAATCTTGTAAAAAAAAAAAAATGACAGAAAATCACAAGAGCTTGCTTAGTCAACTAAAAGCTCCTGGCCGATTTCTGTGGTTTGAGGTCTCAGACATTTTGATTCTTTCCACTGTTTTGAAGTAAGAACAGTATTATGAATTGCACTCAATTTTGATTTCTGGCTTGTGCTTTTCCAACACTGTGCGTGCGTGCGTGCGTGTGTGTGTGTGTGTGTGTGTGTGTGTGTGTGTGTGTGTGTATTTACTTCATGTATGTTTTATTCTGATTAAATTATCTATAAATCTCAGGCCTCTGGTCTCTGCAGAATTGCATACATACACATGGTTTGTGAAAGGGTTAATAAGATGAGCAGCTGGTAGCAGAGCCTTATCTAGCAGAATCTAGTGGAGGTCAATTTTTCTCTTATTAGCTGAACTTCATTGTTCCATGTCCCAAGTATCTAAGGGTCCTTAGACAGCTTTGCCATGGGAGGGTGGGGGCAGTGTGGTGGCTGGGGCCAGGGAGAGCCAGGGAAATGGGGAAGACTCCTGGGTAGGATTGCTGGGAAGGTATCTCTTTATGTTAAAAGACTCAATGACAGTAACAGACCCAGAGTGGCACTTGCTACATGTTCTGTCTTATCTGTGGTTCCTGTCCAGAATCTTAAGTAACCGCAGGTATCAGGAAGTAAAAACAGGCTAGGAGAGAGTCTGGAGTAGTCGTAGGTGACAGGACTCTAGAGAGTGCAATAGGAGGACACAGTAGCTGTGAAAGGGGAAATGGGAAATGGGAAACATCGGTGGAGGAGACTTACCTGGGGGTGGTGAAGGGATGGCAACATAGAAAGAAAGGGAAGGATGAGGGATAAATGACTCTAGTGATATTTGAAAAAGTCATAGGGAGTCATATTGTTTTATAAAATTACATATCATGGGTTGTGTGTGTGTGTTTACTTGGAGTGACAATGCTACCTTCCAAACCACAGACTATCTGGTAAAAACCCCAGTGTCAGACATGGGAAACATTTGAGTTGTTGGTCAGAGGAACCTGAGAGAGTCCCACAAAAACAATAAATGTTATTGTTGTTGCCTTGGCTGCCTTTCAGGAAAAGAGGGTTGGACCCTATTGCTGAAGACCCCACACACGTCAGATGCAGGGCTTGGAGAATGCTGGCCTGGAAGCCTTCTCTCTGAGGCTCTCACAGCAACAAAGGGAGCTATAACAGTTGCCAAGGAACAAAATCAATCAATAGTCTTACCTAGCTGTACCATCTTCAGACCGCGATAGCCAGATTGTCATGCTATTCTGAAATGTGAAATGATGGCATTTATAGCCTAGGGGTGTGGCATTTATATCCCACTTGATTGGAGGGGTTTCATGCCTGGTGTTATTAAAAACACACGACTACTCATGACTGATGAGGTCCTGGAACACCCTTACAGCCATGGAGAAGTTCAGCTCTCACCCTCATTCAGAGCTCTTTTTACCGCAGACAGAGACCGTATGGAAAGTATCAATTGGTCAGAATGCAGAGAACAAGTGGGTGAGGAGTGCCCAGACACAGCATGTACATCTACAACACAGCCCTACAGCTGAGGCTCAGGGGAGGAGGGGACAGAGAGGTGGTAAATGCCAGAAGACCAGGATATCTGCAGCAAGGCAGTGACTACTAAAAAGATTTAAAAAACAGGACACAAAGTAGAGGGAGGAGGAAGGAGGATGAGGGGGAGTTGGATGAAAGAGTGGGGGATGAATATGATAAAAAAAAAAACGTTGCATGCAATCTCAAAGAAGTAATAAAAATATTACATTAAAAAAAAAAAACAAGGCCAGCCGAGCTAGTGATCACTTTCTTGCAGGATGGCCATCTTGTGACCACTGAGAAGAAGTACAGTAAGAATGACCAAAGAGAGACAAAAGAACTCTGGACTTTTTGTGATGTGAAATTACTTAATGCAACCAGTGAACACATGCTACAACCATGCTGAAGTCCCCAGTGAACACATGCTACAGCCATGCCGACATCCCCGGTGAACACACACATACTACAACCATGCTGATGTCCCCACTAACAGGGCAAAAATTGTCTGCCACAATTCTAACTATGGAATAGAAGATGGCTTACGGTACTTCTGATGAATTTTGAGCCCCAAATTGTACATGTCAACAAGTTTTATAAGATTGCATATATTTAATTCTTAGATCTGTTATTTCTCCTTTTTTAAAATTTAAATTTGGAACAAGGTTGTTGTTTTACATGTCCATCCCAGTTCCCTCACCCTCCCTTCCTCCCCTATCACCCTCACCAACCCCCAGCCCATTCCCTTTCTGATCCCCAGGGAGGGTGAGACCTTCTATGGGGGATATTAAAAGTCTGTCATATCATTTGGAGCAGGGCCTAGGCCCTCTCCCATGTGTCTAAGATGACAGAGTATCCCTCTATGTGGAATGGGCTCCCAAAGTCCATTCATATACTAGAGATAAATACTGATCCACTACCAGAGTTCCCATAGACTGCACAGTCCTCCTAACTAACACCCATGTTCAGGGGGTCTGGTCTATTCTATGCTGGTTTCCCACCTATCAGACTTCTTCAGGTCAGCAGTTTCTGTGGGTTTCTCCAGTCTGGTCTTGACCCCTTTGCTCATCATTCTTCCCTCTCTACAACTGGATTCCAGGAGTTTGGCTCAGAGTTTAGCTGTGGGTGCCTGCTTTTGCTTCCATCAGCTGCTGGATGAGGGCTCTAGGGTGGCATTTAATCTTTTTATCAGGGAAGGGCATTTAAGGTAGCCTCTCCACTATTGCTTAGATTGTTAGTTGGGTTCATCCTCTGGGCATTTCACTAGTGCCAGATTTCTCCTTAAATGGCTCCTCATGTTTTAAAGATATGTTCATTATAGACAAACAATAAACATGTATAAAATAATTTTAAAAAATGATCCTCCCTACCCGACCCTCAAAACCAATGTTGTTCCCTAGAAGGTGCTGTTAATGGCTGGACAGTGTTCTTCTGGATATTTTCAATGAATGAGAAACCAGCCATAACTGTTGTAAAAGTTAGGATGTTAGACACTGCCCTTTGGCAGTAAACACCCTGGATGAGACCAGTGAACCTTGGCATGCAGTGTAATACTTGGACATTTATCTGAAACTTTCCCAACTCTTTTGAGACTGTCTTGAGTTTGTGGGAGAGTCTTTCAATACAATGACATTTAGGGGGTGGGGCGTGCCCTTCAGGAGGCAGAGGCATGAGATCTCTGTGAGTCTGAGGCCATTCTGGTCTACAAAGAGAATGCCAGGACAGCCTGGGCTGTTACAGGGAAACCTTGACTTGAAAAACCAAAGGGGGGAAAAAGAAAAAGGGAGGAGGAGGAGAAGGAGGAGGAAAAGGTGAACAACAACAACCACAACAACAACAACATCAACAAACAAGCTGCAGCAGAATCAGATAACTGTCCCTGGGGGAATAAAGGCTGAAGACTAGGTGGAGCTTCATGTTCACCTTTTACACCCTTTACTCGCCTTTCTGGATTGAATGGAAGTAGGAAATGTCCAGCTGGGAGTGACTGGCCCTGGGCTCCTC